AGCAGGCATGGTTGTCGCAAGACACAGGCATATGCTTCAGCAAAAAAATTAAAGAAAAAGTTGCAAAGCCACCTGTATAACTGCATAAATGCGCAAAAGAGGATTCAAAACGTTGCAAATCGTAAAGTGAATCATCTAATTTCAAGAGAAGATTAGTGTAAATTGCCGAAACAAATAGTAATGGTATCAAAACTACAGCATTAATCTCTTTGACAGTCAATAGTAAAGTGAAAACGCCTACCCATTCCAAACCAAATTTCAGCGGCCCGTGCAAGTCTCTCCCCGTAAGAGTCAAAAACGAAGGGCCGGCACTCAGTTAAGAGGTGCTTTCCAGGCACACTTAGTGAGGTAATAATCATGGTGACAGAGCGCAGCAAAAAGACGGTCCCCAGAAGCGAGCAGAATCGGCGAAAAAGAATGAGACGATGTTTGTGAAAGAAGAGGACAGTAAACCAAATAAGGCACAGGCAGACAGCAATGATTTCGGCAGCCTCGAAGGCCCAGGGAATGTATGGCAAGTTGTCTAGCAAGATATCTGGAAGTGGAGGATATTTGGATATGTCAGGCAAGCGCTCATGGGCCAGAACCATGACAAAAGAAGTGACACCGAGAGAAAGAAAGGCGTAGATTGCACTGATAATGACTTTCCAAATCTTAGGATGCAATTCACAGGCTGAGGAAACAGCAGAAGATTGATAGGACTCGCAGCAATGAGAGCAGTCCAAATCATGATCGGAAAGCAAACCCAAACAAAAACAGCAAGATTGATGGCGTGAACGCCATACGTCTATTAAAAAGACAAGCTTTTTAAGAATGCCTATTTTAACAACGCCCATCTCACGAAGGTCATTCATTGTAAGCATTGAAAAAGTGAAGCCATCAATCATGTGTTGCTCAAAAAGTTTGCGAGTCTCGGTATCGACGCCTTGTGATTCGAGCCAGAAGAAGAAGTCTTCTGGTGGTTTCCTAAAGAGATGCTTCAGCTCATGTGTAGGCTCCGTCATTGTTTAAAAGCTCTAAAGAAAACATCAAACTATAAACCAGAAGATCTTAGCAGCGAACAACAGTACTCTGAGTAAATCGAAAGCCTCTGGAACCGCATTAAGACCTGTTTACCCAGGTCATGATCACCGAAGACAAAAACATAGTAGAGATCCAATGAATAAAAGTGTGCTGCTCTACTAATATGCATACACAAAGTCTCAAAGCGTAGAATCTGAACAGGAATTTGTAACTACTTCAAGCGAGACTAAAATACGACTCTCTCGGAAACTAAAGGAAGAATTTGTGTTTTGAAGAATAGGAGATTATGAATGGAAACGCTAATCAGGAGTAAACTACGCAACTGTCAAAAATGAAAAGTTTACGTAAAACAGCACCATCATACCCAAACGAAGACATCCCTCATAAATATGTGCCAAGGTCAACGCGCAACTTTACATCTATGTTTTCAATGCCATATTTGAACGAAATACTGCTTAAATGATAAACTAGTGGATGTGCTCCCTTCTAAAATGGCTATAGGTGCTTAAATTAATCAAAATTACAAGTAAAAATATTTTAATTTTGAAATTAGCGAGGAATGCGCATTGCATGTCTTTTACAGGCCTGAGCAATCATAAGGTTAATTTAATATGTCCAACTTTCCACTTCCGTAAATAATAGGCCAAAAAAAACCAATTGCAAGATTTTGGCGTCCTGAGTGTAATACTTTGATTATGTGACCGCATGATGTTTGGACTGGCCTTCGGGCCATACCCAGGCCCATTTGTTCTGTCGTCTTCAGAGTACATGTATCCAGCTGCACTGACTTCTTATACTGGCTATGAAGTCTCGGAATGCTGCGATAAGACCTCCTATCGAGTGGG